TTTACCCTTCTATGTGAAAAATATATTTTGCACAATATATGGAAGAATTATAGAAAAGTGGATAAACCTAACCCACCAAGCCTTGATCAATGGCAGTTAAAAACACAAAACTCTTTTTGTTTCTTTCTTTATTGCATCAAATAATCATAAGTATTGCCAACGATCAATGGTAGAAAAATTCTCATGTAGCCTTTTGCAACCCTTATTAATGGTAGACAAATTCTCATTTGTAGGCAAAAACACCATAACACAAACACTATCGGTGGTGGTGGTGGTGGTCGTAGTGGTGGTGGCGGCGGCGGCGGCGGCAGCGACAGTAAATTCCAACGATAGGTAAATCTTTGGTTGCAAAGTGGTGTCCTACTCTTGAGCTTGAGGAAAGAAGATGAGATTTTTTTTATTTTTTTTTTAGAAGTGAGGGGAAAAGACGAGCTTTGATGAAGGTTTTGTAGTAGAGATGTGGGTCAGATACATGGAAGATAAGGTTATGTACATATATTATATATTTAAAGTCATGTTTGGTTGTAATATTTAGAGTAGAAAATAAATAAGGGCATTTTCGTCTGAAAAAATCATATATTATGTCATGTGCTTTTCATGTGACTTATTTTCATCCAATTTTTAACAATTAGCTAATAGAAGGATTTTAGTGTCACAATATGAGGGTTATATTGTTGAGTTTTAAACATCAAGAAGGTAAACTATAAATGAGCTTTAGTTTTTTTTTTTTTTTTGGGGGGGAGGGGGGGTTATTGTAATTTATCCAAAAAAAAAAAAGTTTAATTTGTATTTCATTAACTTTTTTCTTCCTTCTTTTTTACCTCCTCAAATCGAAACAAAGCTTTTAAGTTTTACAACCTTGAAAAGAAAAGGTTTATTGATATTCTGGATTACTTCCAAAAAAACCACTGCCTCACTAGGGAGAGAGGTCAATATAGAAAATGAGTTGGATATAGTTCATAAATTCATAATAGAGTTGTTTTTCTTTTCATTTTTGTAAGCATTACATTTCCAATTCATTAAGCATTACTGTTACCACCATAAATCTGTAATTTTATTATTATTTATTATTTATATTATTGCAGGACATGTGCATCCTTCTACTTATTTGAAGGTTATGAGAAGTTATGAAATGTGAAAAGATGATGGAGAACAAAGTAGAAAACATGGAGCATGAAGTGGAGGTTGAAGACAGTTACGGAAGATCATGAAGTATGAAATGGAGGAGGTGGAAGAGTGTGTAGTTTTAGATAGTTTTTTCCTACAAGTGTTTGCCTATAAATAGCCATTTATGGCTACATTGTAAGAGATCCAAGAACTCAAATAAAAAACAATTGATTTATATTTTTCTTGTCATTTATATTTCCTGTACTTAATTTTTTGCAATTTATTTTATGCACTTCATTTTTGAAGTATAGGAGTAGAGGCAAGTTGGACATGTGGCATCCTCCTACCCATTTGGAGGTTATGAGAAGTTATGAAATGTGGAAAGATGATGGAGAACAAAGTGGAAAACGTGGAGTATGAAGTGGAGGTTGAAGGAAGATCATGGAAGATCATGAAGTATGAAATGGAGGAGGTGGAAGTGTGGGTAGTTTTAGATAGTTTTTTTCTAGAAGTGTTTGCCTATAAATAGTCATTCATGGCTACATTGTAAAGGATTCAAAATTCAAATCAAAGACAATTGATTTCAATATTTTTTATCATTTTCCTTATCTTAGGAGTAGTTTAACATAGATTTATATTTCGAAGTCTTTATTTTCAACACTTCATTTTCTGCACTTTATTTTATGCACTTCATTTTCGAAGCATAGGAGTAGAGGTAAGTTCTCTGCACTTTATTTTATGCACTTCATTTTCGAAGTATAGGAATAGAGGTAAGTAATTATAACTTTGATTGTTCTCTCAATCGTCTTTCTCTATCTCCCTCATTCTTTTTTTAATTTTTCTTTTCTCTACACTTGGCAATTTTGAAATCCTCTTTGTTGAGCCAAAAGAACCGTCAACGCAATCGCTTGATAATTGGCTTGAATTTAATCTGTAAGGATTTTTCAATCCTTACTGATACGCTCGTATTTATGGTATTTTCCTTCGTAGGAAAAATAAACCAACAATTACATTTCCAGTTCATTATGTGTATTGATATACAAAAGGAGAATTACAAATCAGTGAGAATTAGAGAAATTATTTATGAAAAAAGATAAACATTATAAATATTAATAATTAAAATTATAAATTTTATATTTTATATTTTGTATATATAATTTTTCTGCATTCCACTGATCTATAATTCTCCAATGTACAAATAAAAAGTACACTATTGAGACTTCTCATTTTAAAATAAAATATTAATATCACATCATTCTAGTAAAAAAGTAAGGCCAAGTTTGGGAAGTCTCAAAAAAGTTAAAAAGTCAAAAAGTTACTCAAAAAGTTAAAAAGTTATCACTATTCACCAAAATTCAACAATTACGGCTGCACAACTCCCAATACTAATTTTCCCCTACATATTAATTTATACAGTTTTTTAATACACATTTTTTCATAAAAAGTCAAAAAGTTAACCGAAACATTCATATTTTCAACCTCAACTTTTTAGTCTAAAAAGATAAAAGTGCACTTATTTAGGACACCCCAAACAATCTCTAAGTAAAACAAAGGCCCATTTTGAAAAAATTGACTTTTTAATTTTTTTTTTTGACTTTTTTAAGTCACATCATATTTTTACTATTTTACATATTTTTTTAAAAAAAAAATCAAAAAAATAAAAATAAAAAACATCAATTTTTAACCTACATTCCAAAACACTCTAAAATAAAATAAAATAAAATTACTCATCTTATGTATTATTCAAGTAATAAAAATATTCTTTATTAGATGTAAGCTCTTTTACATAAACCCTGCTAGTACCAACCACTGTTACTGATTGGGCTAGCTAGAGTGCCCAGTGACTCTTTAATATAGAATTCCCCTTTCAATCTGTAATCTATTTTTGCCCAAATTAGAGCCCATTTACAAACCCTAGAAAATCTCTTTTGTCGCATTTCATTCGTTTTCCATCCTTACTTTCATCAGCTGGAGACTCCTCCACGGCGCGGCGTTTGTTCTCTCAAGATTCTCAAGTGTTGGTTCCTTCTTCTCTAAGAGCTCTCTCTGTCTCGCTCGCTTGCGACGCCGTCTTCTACAAAATGGTATGTAGAATTATTGTTTATGTTTTATTTCATTTGCAGTTAGATTTAGATATATAGATAGATACAACTGTGGTTTGCATAAACTGTGTGTGTGTATTTTGGGTATCAACATAGTTGGGATGATTTTACACTGTGATGCTTTTTGCACTCGCCTTTATTGACGTTTGTAATTGTACCCAGTACTTTGCTTCTCATCAAGAATTCCTATTTTTACCTTAAAATAGGGCTCAAAATTGGAGGAGTATCTTTTTCAACAAAATGGAAAGAACAAAACCTATATATATATATATATATATCATATGTATGTACAAGGATGGACACAGGATTTTAACTTTAGGGGCGAACTAATATCCAACATAAAAAATTTATTGTTCGGATAATTTTTATTGCGTTGTTGTCGTACAAAAAATGTATGATTAAAAAAAAAAGACAAATTATTATATTGACTAGAGGATAAATTGTCAACTTTCGCGTTTTTACAAACATCAAAACTCAAATATTGTTAACAATTTTTGAAAGTCGGAATGTTTTTACAAACATCAAAACTCAAATATTGTTAACAATTTTTGAAAGTCGGAATGTTTAACGTTGTAACCGAAATTACAAATGCAAATTAAATTTATTTGCAAGCTTGCAAATATCTTCAATTTCAAAAAACTATAATCACTCCTATGGCTAAAAACAAACAACTCCGTCACATTCTCTTTAAATCGGTTTTTTAGTTCTTGTAATAATGTATCACGTGTAACGGTAAAATTAGCAACTCGAAAATGATGCTGAATGGTAATGTGATCTCTTTGTTGATGAACACGATCCATCGAATGTAAGATCTCAAAGAAGAGGGAAGAAGAATGAGAGAACTACAGCAGAGAAATAAGAAGAAGAGGAAGAACTGAAATTAGAAGAAGTTTTGAAATAGAGATGAAAATGAGTTGAAGAGAGCATTGAAATAACAAGAACGATAAAGGAAAAAACCAAAACAGACAAGAAGAATAAGAGGCAGAAATAATGAAGAATATCTGAAGTTGAAGACTAAAGATTGAAACTTGAAAATGCAGATTTTGTTAAAGAAATCTTGAGGGGGCAGGTACTAAATTTCTCAAAAAAATCTTGGAGGGGTGAGCCCGTGTAATTTATAAATATCAATTACTAATATCACTATATTTAAGGAGCTTTTTCAAAACTTAAGGGTGGCCACTGCCAGCAGCCTCCCCCTTGGTCCATTCCTGTGTATGTATATATGAGAGAATACATATCATAAAAACAAAATAGCAAAGAGATAGAGAGCTGTTGGAGAAAACAGGATTGTTTGCTTATTTGTGATTAGGGTCGTTTCATGTAGAGGCCAAGAGCAGTTGAATAAAAAACAATTTTATATATTTGGGGGTTCTACAGTAGCTCCCCACAATTGAGGAGCAACTGGGACAGTTGAACTTCCTATAATAGGGGCCCTCTTTAGGGAAGCTGCTGGAGTTGGTTTTATGGGGTGAGACTCTCCAAAATATCTAAAAAGTAGAGGATTGGGGATGCTCCAAGAATTAACTACTTAAATTTTTTTAAATTTTTCGCATACATTTCAACAGTCACCTAATTTTGTAAGTCACACTGATGGTGGTTATCAAACGAATTTATTTAATTTTCACTTAATATGTTGAGTTTTAAGTTTTGAATTAAGTTATCAAACACTAGCTAGATCTGTATGAAGTTTGTTGTCCATTGACTGCACTTGGGGTCCCTTTTTGTTGAACAGGCACCATGCAGAGATTAAGTATTGGTGAAAAGGTTTTCCCATCATTCTTCACCTGCTCCTTCAATTTTAATTTCCATTGAAACTAGGAGCGACAGGGCTGTCCCTACAATGGACTGGGTCAGTAGCTTGCCATCAGATATACAACGCAATATTCTAGGGCGCATTCCTTTTGAGGAAGTAGCAGGAACAAGCATCTTGTCAACGACAAGTAATTGGTCTGAACATTCAGTCATACTTGACAAACTCCTCTTTGAAGAGCGGGGCCAATGGATTGATGAACTCCATCCAAGTGCATGGGTGAACAAAGTTGAGGAAATTCTCAATAATCATCGTGAAGGTCTCATTCCCATTCAAAAGTTTGTTCTCCACATTCCGGACATGCAATATAAGTGGGGCCTATTTATAAATATCTGGCTGTCATACCTGTCAAGCAATAGTATCAAAGAACTCTCCGTGGATAATTGCAATGTTATTACATATATGCTTTCTTCTATCTCGTTGAGTGGTCTGAATTGACACGATTGATGCTCCGTAATTGTGCATTCTACAAATCATTTGGAAGCTTTCAGAATCTCCGATTCCTTCATCTTGAGAAAATAGCATTTGGTTCCGTCAAAGTTGGTGATGTTACACTCAGTACCCCATCGCTTGTGTGGGCGGAGCTTATAGATTGCACAGGCTTTCGATATTTGGATATTCAAGCTCCAAATCTAGTGAACTTTGTTGTTGCCACTAGTGTTAGAATGAGTCGTGATGATGAGAATCATATGAGGTTAAAGCTGGCGAAACCAACTATTCGAATCATCAACCCCAACCACAGCGGCTCAAAGTTGGGTTTCAGAGTAGAATATTTTTTCTCTTCCCAAGGTCGAAGGGTTCGGGCCAGAAGGTGAACCAGCCTGAACTATGGACAAAAACAGAAGTTGCTCTGGATTGGGTTGTGATTGATATGGATGGACCATGGCTGGTGTCGACTTAGTTAAAGTCAATAAGCTAGCTTTTTTTTTGTTTTTTTTGTTTTTCATCGTTTTGGGTATGTTATATTCGTTTTGTAAAATGTTTTAAGATCCGTTTTTTCTTTTTTCCTCATAATTTGATCTATAATGATGTGGCATGACATGACATATATTAAGGGTTGGTTTGGGGTGTCCTAAAAAAGTGCACTTTTTGTCTTTTTACGAAAAGATGTGCAGAAAAGTAGAGAGGTGATGTGATGAAAAAAAGATAAAAAGATAAAAAGATGGATTATTTAGTGTACCCCAAACTAACCCTAACTTTTGATTTGTTTTGTGTAAAATTTATCTCTCTTATTATATCATTATGGGTAAATTTAAGAGTTTAATATATGAGTATGTAGCACTAATCATTTCTTTTCCCAAAATGTTTCCAATGCTTGAAGCTTTTTGCAAGGATGGCTATAACTTGGGTTTTGTTTGTGGGAACTTAGTTGAATGCAACGCATTTGAAACTCCATGATTTGTATTTGTATTATATTGTAGAATAATGATTTATCTCTTTAAATTTATTTTCTCAATTTCACTTTTAATAATATGGAATTAGAGAGTTAAAAATGAAAGAGAGGAGTATGAGATTACTTTACATAAGAGTGGATCATGTCATTGGAGGTAGAATTGAAGGGATAACATTAGGGCTTCGTTTGTTTTCAGAGCTAGAATGGAGGAAATTTATAGTAAAGGGATTTATAGTGAAAAGATTAAGTAAAATTGTATTTGTTTTGATCATAGTTGTTAGTGTAGGATTGTTAAATTATTTTTATATAAAATAAATATAAAATAATAAAACAAATAAAAAATACAAAAAAATTAAATATTAATGTTCAAAAAAAAAAATGCCCAACTTTTAAAAAATTTTAAAAAAATAAAAAATTTACAGAAAAAAACGACACAATGAATTTTACTTAATAAAAAATACAAAAAATTAAGCATCAATGTTAAAAAAAAAAAAAAAAAAGCCCAACATATAAAAAAATAAAAAGCAAATAAAAAATTTCTAATATGACGGAGTATTTTTCTAATATCACCTCCACCCTTTCATCCCAATCCCCCTTCCAAGGTCCAACCTAATCCCCTCATCCATCTCAATCCCTTTCCCATATCTATAAACAAATACAACATTAAATAGGTCCCACATCTATCCTAATATCATCCCTTCCTCTATGCTCCAAAATAAACGGGGCTTAGGGGATGCAGCACCACTTATCTTGGTAAGTTAAATTCCTTATTTATGTTTTTTCCTATGTTTGGATTGGATCTTAAATTTGTGAATGAATTTATAGGAAAGAATAGAAAAATGGACGGATTTGTGGGGAAAAAAAATTTAAAACTAATTTCTATTTAGGGTTAGTTTGGAATCATCTAAATAAGCAGTTTATTTGTTACAAATTATCACATCATCTCTAGATTTTTTTGTATTTTTTTTTATATAAAAAGTCAATAAATTAAAAAATAAGCAAATCTTATAGCCATAAGGACAACACACTACAAAATGACCAAAATAGCCCTATATATAAAACAAACACACTTATCTGTTGAAAACTAATTTCTCAAAACCCTCTCTCTTTCGTCACCATATATACCGTCGCCTCCATCTCCGTCACGGCTGCAAGGGCAACGGCAGTGACGAGGTATGATAGATCTGGTCCAAGATCTCTTGACGGCTTCGAAATTGTCCATGAAAGCATTACCTCCCGCTCCACCGATCTTTTTCTCCTAAGGTTGCTCCACCTACTCTACCTACCACTCTAGCCATGACTCTCATCGTCGCTACCATGACTCTAAAGTTCATATCCAATCAATGGTAAATATGATTTTAAAATAAATTGTTAACAAAAATGTGTTCCGATCAAAGGGCTACTAATATTCGATCAACATGATTTTTGCAGGCATGAAGTATTTGACTAACTTTACACATTGACGGTTTAGATCATCGAAACGGGACCTGTGGTGGGCCTTACGAGCCCAATAGTACGCTCCAGTCCACACAGTAAATTGGAGAGAAGCATTTCCCTTTAAACATATAACTACTAATATTCAATAATTTTAATTTTTTATATTAATATTCTACTCAAAAAGTCTTAAAAAATAAATTGTTTGGATCATCAAGATCAGTCCCAAAAATAAACTGTTCGTTTCATTTCTTCTCATTTTTATTATATTGTAGAATCCAAACCCGGCTCCATTTGATTAGAAAGAAATAAATTATAGAAAGTACAAATGGTAAAAAGTAAAGTGAAAGAAAAGAAAAGGAAAAGAAAATATCTTTTCTTGTATAAATTTTGATTAGGATAAAAATCTTGTAAGAAAATAGGAATTCTAATTATAAGTAACTACTTTTATAACAATTTTAAACTTTCTTGTATTTTCGTGTGTTTTTTGCAAAAAACTAAAAGCTTAGTTACCAAAAAATTAATTTTATTAAAACTTCCACCTCATACTAAACAAATTTAGAATTTTTTTTTTTTTTTTTTTTTTTTTCAATTTCTAACATTTTTATCCTAACCATAGGAGCCTTAAAACAATGGATGTTAGTGTAATTTTAAAAAATATAAGGGTGTTATCTGTATTTTCAATATACCACATGGGTGATTTGTGTAATTAGTATCTCTATCTATCAGTATGCTTCCAGCCCCTCTCTCTCTCTCTCTCTCTCTCCGAAGAGATGGCAATCTACAGCAGAAGAAGAAGAAGAAGAAGAAGAAGATCAATGAAAGGAGTGGCTTTTCTTCGTCTTTTCAATCTCTGGTATTTCTTACTTTTTAGTTTTCTTGCTCCTTTTTTACCTCTTGTTTTATTCTTTTTCAACCTCAAAGTTCGGATTTTTTTTATATATTTTTTTAATCCTTCTTGTCTGTACATTTCGTTGCCTGTATGATCTGATGCTTCTGGATATGGGTTTGATCTCTTTAGTATTAAACATGTTATGAATTATTGGAATTTGGGGTTGAATTTTGTTGATCACCGCCAGTGAAATTGTAACGGAAAATTTAGGAAAACCCACCGCTTGTTTGTTGACAAAAATCGATGCAAAGAAAAGAAAATCAGCTTTTGAATCAACGGTTATGCGTTATCCGTGTCATCTAAAGAATGAAAATTTCAGTAGTTTTTAATCGAAATTTTTGTGTTTGGTTCAGTAGAATTGAGGTATTTTTTTGTCTGAAGTTCTGGATGAGTTTTTTTTTTTTTCCTTCTATTACCTAAATTTTCTCTGCAACCAAACAGAGTGAGGAGAAATTTTTCATTGGTTTGGTTCAAATTTAATTAATGGGAAATGCGAAAGACACTGTTGATGTGTTTTTTTCCTGCCTGTAGGCAATTCAGCTGATGAGGATATATTTTTTTCTTCTTCTATTTCCTAAATTTTCTCTGCAACCAAACAGAGTGCAAGGGGAAAATTTTCATGGGTTTGGTTCATATTTAATTGTTGTAAAATCCAAAAGACTGTTGATGTATTGTTTTTTTCTCTGCCTGTAGATAATTCAACTGAAAACTGCACATGGATAATGTTTTAGGGCAAGATTTGATTAGTGGTATGCCTCAAAGTATTATAGAAACCATCCTAACAAAGCTTCCGATAAGGGATGCAGTAAGAACATGCAGTTTATCAAGTAAGTGGAGGTATAAATGGGCTAACCTTACTCAACTTGTATTTGATGACAAGTGTGCAATGCTTTGTAATGACAAAGGAGCTGTCGAGGACAGCCTTGCAAAGTTCATTACTCGGTTTCTTTTTCTTCATGATGGACCAATTCACAAGTTCAGTTTGTCTAGCACATACTTGCAAAGCTCACCCGATATAGATCAATGGCTGCTTTTTCTATCAAGGAATGATATTAAAGAATTGATTCTTGAATTAGGAGAAGGCGAGTGGTTTAGGGCTCCTTCTTGTCCTTTCTCCTGTCGAAAATTGACTCGTTTGGAGCTAATTCGATGTGAGTTGGACCCTCCTTCGACTTTTAAAGGATTCTTATGTTTGAAATACCTCAATCTTCAACAAGTTTTAATTGCCCCCGATATTGTTGAAAGTCTCATATCAAGTTGCCCTCTTCTTGAGAGTCTGACGTTATCGTACTTTGATAGTTTAGCTCTTACTATCTGTGCTCCGAATCTCAAATACTTGTGTCTGGAAGGCGAATTTAAAGACATATGTCTCAAAAATACCCCACTTTTGCTTACTATATCTGTTGCTATGTATATGACTGATGATATTGCCGAGCATTTTGAACAAAGTTCAAGTTGCAACTTTGATAAGTTTCTTGGCGGTGTACCATGCCTTGAGAGACTTATTGGACATATTTACCTCACCAAGGTAAGACTTTACTAAATTTCATTTATATTTATTTAGGTTCTATGGAAAACATAGTCTAGTGCTTACTCGTGGCCAAGGTGTTTTCTTATGTTATTGTTTTTGTCAAGTATTTGAGTATAGGTAACGACCTAGGAAAACTTCCAGTTGCATATAACCATTTAAAAGTTATTGAATTGTATCAAGTGAGTTTCGAGGACATGAAAGAGATACTGGTGGTTCTTCGTTTGATTGTTAACTCCCCTTGTTTACAAGAACTTCAAATCTCGGTGAGTAGTCTTAAACTCATTAAATATTTTATATTTCAGATTACAATGGCCATTCACTTGTTCATTTCCTTGTATTGATTGATATAGGGTTCATCAAATACATCAACTGCAACAGAAGCTCCTGATTTGGATTTTTGGGAGAAAGAATGCCCGTCTGATTGCACATTCAGTCTGCTTGAAACTGTGAAGATGACAGATATGTCTGGTGTGCCACATGAGATGGAATTCATCAAATTTATACTTAGAAACTCACCAATGCTCGAGACAATGAGCATTACACCTAGTGTATATGTTACAGATGGAAGATTGAATATGTTGATTGAGTTGGTGAGGTTTCGAAGGGCTTCTGCACAAGCTGAAATCATCTTCATCCAAGATTGATATGTAAAAACTGTTTTTCTTACATGAAGTCTCTTTGTTTTGTGTTTGTTTTCCTTCTTTTGACAGGTCATTGGGCTTCCATTTGTATTTATCTTGGCCAAGTTGTTGCAAATGATGAAATAATATTTACAATCCATGCAAAGTCCCACAAAAATCATTTAGTTTATTTTGTCTTTTATTTATTTATTTTGGTTCCTTTGTTAACAATGAAACTCTTCCTTTGCTGCAATTTCCTATTTGTAGCTTAGAATACAGTACAACATTGGGAAGATTTGCAATGAATCATGTGATTGCAAACCATTTTCACCCATCTATGATACTCTGAATGAAAATCCACAATTAAACAGTTTTATATTTTGGTGTATATTAAATATAAATTTTAATCTTATCTTAGGTTGAGCACATCCTGCAAATGTTTCAGCATTTAAGAGGCTAGTGAGGGAAGACAAAGGTTGCTTCAGCAAGACAAATATTATGAGATTTCATGAGAGACTTGTGTGGAATTAATAAGTGCAATACTACAAATTTATGTTGACTATATTTTCTATAAATTACAAGAGACTTTGGGGAAGGATAGAAGTGAGAGCTTGAGTTATCCAGCAACTGTCAGACTTTCATTTAGGCTGTGTTTGGAATTTGAGTTTGTGGAGGAGGAAACAAACAAAGGAAAAATGAAAGATCCAAACACAGTATTAGACTGGAGACAGTTTTCTGAGAAGATTGCATCTAATACCAAAAACTCTTGAGCTCAAAACAAATCTCTTTGAAGTTCTGTTGTACCCTATAGAAAACAACTCTTAAAGCTCATTCCTTGTTTTCTTACAACATTATTCTTACAAGTTTGAAACAACCAGAAAATTCCTTCACTCATCAATACCCAAAAGAAAAAAGAAAATAAGGAACTCGTAAACACGGCGGCCTAAATGTCAGTAACTGAAATCAGATTCTATACAGTCAGAATTTGCCACCACTTTCCAAAGCTTTGAGAATATCATGATACTATACAACAAACTCATTTCCACACATATAGTCTTGCTGTTGCATTCTGTGACAGATTTATTTTCATGTTTCTCTTCTAGAATTTGATCACCAAGGTCCTGATAGCTCCATTGCCTGGATGAGCAAGGATGAGTCGTCTGTGAGATCAGAGTACCGCTCTGAAGAAGAGAACTCATTTGCTCTACACCTGGTTGTGTCAACTCTTTGTGAAGCGTCCCATTTCTCTGCAAGTCCATCTCCTTCGAGCATTCTAACTACTTCAGACATCTTGGGTCTATGACTCGGAAGATATTGGGTACACAAGAGAGCCACTTGAACCATTTCTTCAAGCCCAATCCGATCATAGTTGTTTTTCAAGTCCTTGTTGACCAACGCATCAAGTTTCTTTTCCTGATGAATTTTCTTAACCTGCAATGATATACCCATCAGTCAAATGTACGAGGCAAATGTATAGAGTTCAAAATTATCAAAAACACTTGTTTTTGCTCACCCAATCAAGCATAGCTCCTTTCTAGTTTGCTGTTTTCCCAAATTCGAGAGCTCTTTGACCGGTGATCAATTCAAGTAGAAGGATTCCAAACCCAAGAACATTAGTTTTCTCTGATGACTAGCCTATTGAGAGATACTCCGGGGCTATATGCCCCATGGCTCCTCTGACAGCAGTTGTGACATGTGAATCTTGGTGATCCAAAAGCTTTGCCAATCCAAAATCTCCCACCACAGCTTCATAGTAATCATCAAGCAATGTATTTGCAGCCTTCACATCTCTGTGAATAATCTTGGGATCGCACTGTAAGATTTCTGAATAGCTTTCTGTATCTCATATATTCAATGTATCAAAGATTACAATCAGATCTTAGATTATGTATCCCTAAATCCTAAACCAAAAAAGAAAATACAAATACAATTATAATTATGTCTCTAACAGGACTCTAACACAATCATGTCTCTAGTAGGACTCTAATTTGTACACAACACACAATAATATATTCTATATTCTCACAGCCCCGCTTAAACTCAAGGTGTTTTAGCAGAAAACACTGAGAGTTTGCTAAGAAGAAACTGAAACCGAGCGGTAGTGTGAGTTTTGGTGAAGAAATCCGCAAGTTGCAAAGCCGAAGGGACGAAAGGAAGCGAGATAGAGGCAGACTGCAGATGCTGGTGAACAAAGTGACAATCAATCTCAATATGTTTCGTCCGTTCATGAAAGACAGTATTGTGGGCAATCTGAACAGCACTGCAGTTGTCATAATAGAGAGGTGTCGGAGAGGACTGAGAGACACCCAAATCAGACAAAAGACAACGAAGCCAAACAATCTCAGCAGTGGCATGAGCCATAGCACGATACTCAACTTCAACAATAGAGCGAGCAACGACTGATTGTTTCTTACTTTTCCAAGAGATCAAGGAATCTCCAAGAAACATATAGAAACCAGACGTAGACTTACGATCAGTAACATCACCGGCCCAATCAGAGTCAGCATAAGCCACCAAGTCCAAAGAGGAAGTAGAGGGCAACAATAAGTCCTGAAAGATGGTACCCCTGAGATAGCGAAGAACGTGAACCAAAGCAGCCCAATGGGTAGAGCAAGGAGCAGAAACGAACTGACTAACCACATGAACAGCATAAGCAAGATCAGGGCGAGTGACAGTCAAATAAACTAAACAACCCACAAGCTCGCGATATAAAGTGGGATCATCCAGAGGGATACCATCAACAGAGTTAAGCTTCACATTAAGCTCAATAGGTGTATCAGAAACCTTAGTATCAGGAAGACTAGCACGATGAATGACTTCATTAGCATACTTGGCCTAAAACAGAAAATAGCCTTTGGGAGAAGAAGCAACCTCAATACCAAGAAAATACCGTAATGGACCCAGATCCTTCATTTCAAAGGTGCAGAAGAGATGCTGCTTGACCTCAGAGATAGCAGAAAGAGTCCGAGCCAGTGATGATCATATCATCCATATAGAGTAAGAGAGCAACAAAACCAGCCGATGTATGTCGCAGAAATAAAGCAGAGTCGGAAGTAGAAGGATGAAACCCGAGCTCGGTAACAACAGTCTGAAATCGATCATACCAAGCACGAGGAGACTGCTTTAGACCATACAGAGCACGCCGAAGATGACAAACCAGACCAGAGGGATGGTGAAGGCCAGGAAGAGGACGCATGTAAATCTCCTCAGTGAGATGACCATTAAGAAAAACATTCTTAACATCCATCTGATAAAGAGGCCAAGAACGAATAGCAGCGATGGAGATCAAAGTATGGACAGCAGTCATCTTGGCAACAGGGGCAAATGTTTCCTCATAATCAATACCATACTCCTGAGAGAAACCTTTGGCAACCAGACGAGCTTTGTAGCGCTCAAGAGACCCATCAGAATGAGTCTTGACTTTGTAGACCCATTTATAACCAACCAAGTTCTTACCAGTAGACAAAGGAACCAGCTCCCAAGTACTAGTTTTCTGTAGAGTAGACAACTCATCTTCCATAGCATGAACCCAATGAGGGTCCTGACATGCCTCTTTGTAAGACTGAAGTTTTGAAAAAGAGTGAATAGCAGACAAAAAAATACAATAAGAGGAAGAAAAACATGTATTAGACCAACCTAACCTGTTTGGAGGATGACGCGCTCGAGTAGGATATCGGTGTGCAGCAGGATCAGAGTCGGCAGCAGCAGGAGGATCAGTAGTAGGGGTAGAGACAACTGCTGGAGGAGGAGCCTTGCGACGAGAATAAACTAACAACGGAGAAGGAGAACAAACTGAAGGAGGAGAAGCAGCCAGAGGTGAAGTAGGAGGAGAAGATGCAACAAGCTCAGGAGGAACTGTGGAGATGTACTCATCAGATGGTACCTCAGAAGGAAATGGGTCAATGTAAACCAAATCCTCTTTGGAAACCGGAGCAGTGACAGGAGGAAACTGAAAGTAAGGCAGACATTCGAGAAAAGAAACATGACGGGAGACATAAAGACGATGGGAAACAGGTTCGTAACACCGATAGCCTTTCTGAGTAGGACTATAACCCAAAAAGACACAGAGAACAAACCGGGCACTAAGTTTGGTCCTATCTTTGCGGGGAAGAAGGACAAAACTGGCAGACCCAAACACATGAAGGAGGGAGTAGTTAAGAAGTTGGAAAAACAAAGCCTCATAAGGAGACCAACCAGAAAGAATGGGAGTAGGCATGCGATTGAGAAGAAAATCTGCCTCCCCCTAGAATGGAGCCGGAACTGAGGCAGAGAGAAAAAGAGACCTAGCTGTCTCAAGGAGATGACGGTATTTACGCTCAGCGCGACCATTTTGGGCAGGTGTATCTGTACAGGAAATTTGGTAAATGGTACCCAAATTGGCCAAATACTCACAAAACTCAGTTTTAAAATATTCTCCACCCAAGTCAGACCGTAATACTTTAATAGTAGACCCAAATTGTGTAGTAATCATAGACTGAAAGGTATGGTATATCTGATAGAAATCGGACTTATGAGTCATAAGATAAACCCAAGTGTAATAGGTGTAGTCATCAACAAATGACACATAGTATACAGAACGTCCTTTGGTGAGAACAGGAGAAGGGCCCCAAACATCAGTATGAACTAAAGAAAATGGTGTATCAGATATAGAAGTGCTTTTACGAAAAGGTAAGGTTGTCATCTTGGCGAGTTTATACCCTTGACATTCAGTAAGTTCACTAGGAGAAACTTTTCCCAAGATACCTGATTGAGGCAAAGGCCGCAAGCGGTCAGCAGACAAATGCCCTAATCTAGAATGCCATAAGTGGAAAGGACTGGACAGAGAATCTAACTGAAAAGAGAAAAAAGCAATCGGAGAGGTTGTCAAAGGCAGATGCAAGCTCTCTACTACATAGAGGTCCCCAACTCTACGACCAGTCCCAATCTGCTGCTTAGACATCCGATCCTGCACAGAACAGATAGAAGAGGAAAAGATAACATCAAACCCAGAGGCGTCAAGTTGACTGATAGATAATAAACTGACAGATAATTGAGGAACATAAAGAACAGATGGAATAGAGACAACAGACATAGCAGA